TATAGTACTACTGCTACGATGACTTCTACGTACTGCTACTACTACTAGCTACTACTACTACTACTACTACTACTACTACTACGACGACTGCTACTATATACTACTACTACGACTACTACTACTAGCTAGTACTATGCTAGCTACTACTACTACTACTAGCTACTACTACGACGACGACTACTACTACTACTACTACTACCGCTGCTCTACTAATATACTAGCTACTACTAGCTACTACTACTACTACTACTACTACTACTGCTACTACTATACTATACTACTAGCTACTACAGCTGCTACTACTACGTACTACTACTACGTACTATTACTACGTACTACTACTACATACTAGCTACTACCTACTACTATACTACTACTACTACTACTACTACTACTACTACTACTACTATACTAGACTACTACGAGTACTACTACTACGGTACTACTACTACTACTACTACTACTACTACTACTACTGCTACACTGTATTTTTGTTTATATAAAATACAAGTACTAGCTGCTACGACTATACTACACTACGTACTTCTAGTACGGTAGTATACCAGCTGTATATATATATAGACATCGATATCATATATAACACGTACTACTGCGCTATAATATATAGCTACTACGAATAGGCTGCTACTTCTATATACGTACTTGATCCTGTTGCACGCACGTTGCACTATTTGTTCCATATTCACGGGCTGCCCGTCAGGACGGTTGGGGGTACTGGTGCTTGCCATGTTTGTTCACGCATGCACAGTCCCCGAATTACGAAATAAAACTCGGCGGCCGAAAAGCTGTATGTGAATCCACACAAGCACGGCCAATTGTGCTCTCATGGGCATGTACATGGCTCCTAGGAAAGACTACGGCTCGTCTCTGACTCAGCATCGGCTCGGGATCTACGTGGCTTGCTTGTAAGCCTCGGCTGAATAACATGCGTGACAAGACATGCCATGAGCACATGATCCGAACGAACATGCATGCTGGCAACCTTCCTCGCCATGGCTTTGCAGCTCTCTTCCGGCATGTCCTGGCAACGTGCTTCTGCGAGAGCCAAATGATAGGCGCAGCTCTTGCGCGACTTGAGTTTGCGAGCTTCCTCCGCTGCCGGGTCCGGTAGCGGCTGGCCACGCCGCCTCTTCGGCGCAGCCTCTGCAGCATCTGCCGCCACAATGGCTGCGCCATTCTTTGCAGCAGCCTTTGCCTGCCCCTTGGCTTTTGGCGCGGCCTTAGCTTTCGCCTTGGCCTGCCCTTTGGCCTTTGCTGCTGCTGCCTTGGGCTGGGCCTTGGACTTGGCTGCACACTTGGCTTGGGCCTTGGCCTTCGCCTTGGCTTTCGCCTTTGGCTTTGGCCCAGGCTTTTCAGCTTTCGCATCGGCCTTGCTTGGACTCGAGGCCATGAGCAATCGCCGCTTCTTGCTTTTGGTGGGCTTGACCTTCTTCTTGGACTTCTTGGCCTTGGGGCCTCTCTTCTTGCGAGGCGGTGGCTGTGCGCATGCAAGCTTCCCCATCTCGTCCCAGCCCACGGGGTTGTCCATTTCCACAAACATATGCGGCTTCTTGAAGTTCACAGGCCCATACTTCTTCTCCATTTCGGCCAGTTGAACCCACCGAGACACACCTTCATCATCGGATTCAGGATCGGCAGGCTCGGGTTCATCTTCATGTTCGGACTGCGACCTGATCGAAAGGGATACCGAGCGTACCTCCGCATCGTCAGGCTCCAGTGGCACAACCACATTGCATGCACCATCCTGCTCCGGAGCCTTTTGCTGCTCCTTCTCGACATCCGTGGCCACGAGCTTGTTTGCATCCTGCTGCACCTGGGCCTTCTGCTGCTCCACGTCCTCGGTCTCCATGGGCACGGCGGCGTTGCATGCAACAACCTGCTCCGGAGCCTTCTGTTGCTCCACCTCATGGACCTTCGTGCGGGCGACCTTGCCTGCACCATCCTGCTCCGGAGCCTTCTGTTGCTCCACGTCATCATCGGCCTCCGTGGGCACGACCATGCCTGCACCATCCTGCCCTGGCTTCTGCTCCGGCTCCGACCAACCTGTCCTT